CTTTCCCTTTTCCCATTCATCCTGGGAGAGTTGGTAAGGCAGCAGGATGGACAGCACCGGTCCAATTTGAGAACCAGTGCACATTCCAATTTGAGAACCAGTGCGCAAAGCATAGTTAGCCAGTTGCATACTTTACTTTTATCTCTTAAAAGCTGACATCATAAAGCCAGTGGTATACTGTTGTTATTCGCAGTCCTAAAATTTGCAGCCTGTCACGTTGATATGCTTAAACTAAGTTCTCTACCTGTTTGTGAAGTGTTACCCCTGCTTTGTGCAGGTCACTTGCATTGTCCAAGTAGAGGCCTCGGGGCTGGATAGGGCTCATAGAAAACGCAGAACAACGCCCATGATGCATGCGGGAATGACAACACCACCACTCACCCAGTTTTCAAAGTGCATTCATGTATTCAAAGTACGTTTGCAAAGTGTGTTTTGAAATGATACATTTTCAAAGTGTATTCAGTGTAAATAGTTCCTAAATAACAGGTCATGGAAGATAAGAAACCTACATTATTTGAGTGGGGTTGACTATATGGCTTAAAATTTTTGAAAATTTATGGGGGGAAAAAATCCAATGAAAACGAAGTGTATGGTAACAGCTTACATTACAGCTGAAAGGAATCCTGCACCACACTAGGCGCCGTGGGAAAGGACTCCCACAGAGACAGCCGATTCAGGGATGCAGAGCACTGGAAAGTGGCCTGCATGGAGAACTTGCCTTCACGTTCACCGGGTCTGAGCTCATGTCGTGGTTCCCCAGACTTTGATTTCCTACTTACTTTACATTTGTGACTACTATCTGCCCCATTTTAGTCAGAACTGGGTCAGGGTTTTCCTTCTGTTCTTTCTGTTTCACTCTGTCGGGTAAGTCCTGCAACCACCCTTAAACTCACCTTCCTCCCGTGTCCCAATATCAAGTTCAGGTACTTTGTGCCTTACATCAGTGCAATAGTTTACACTGATCTTCTAGCCTCTGCTCTCTTCCCATTTCTAATTCATCTGATGAACTATTTCCCTGGACATTCTCAAATGCCATTCCAACCAGTGCCCTACTGACTTAATAAAGGCCCAGCTCCCAACATAGCATTGTGTCATTCAGAGTATGCTGCAACTGGCCGTTTCTGCTTCTGTGGTTTCCTTCACCTGAAACACCTCTGAAATTAACACTGGCTCATTCTTCAAGCTGTCTTTCCTCCTTTCCTTTTGACCCTGAGGCAGGGTAATGGCTCTGCTGTCATGAATCTTGGCTTCTGCTTTTACTAACACCCTTTTTTAAAAAAAGATTTGTTTATTTTAATTGAGAGAGAGAGAGAGAGAGCAGGCTGGGCTGAAGCTGGAGCCCAGCTTCTTCAATGTCTCCCACATGGGTGTAGGAGACCAAGGCCTTGGGTCATCCTGTACAGCTTTTCCAGGCCATAAGTGCAGAGCTACATTGGAAGTGGAGAAGCTAATATTCAGTCTGGTGCTCATATGGGAAGCTGGCACTGCAGGTATTGGATTAGCTTGCTATGTCACAGCACAGGCCCCACGGTCCTTTGTCAGTCTTTTATCTGGTTTAGGGTATCTCCTTTTACATTATAGGATTGTGGACAGCGACAGTCATGTGTGACTTGGTTTTCAAATCATCCTAGGATATAACAAAACACCCGGATGTAGTAATCACGCCATACTTGTGTCTTTTACTCTAGCAAAGCAGATATTTAAATCACAAACTTGATGTACATGAAATAACTGCAAAGACTGATCATCGGTTTCTTTCTTTCCTGATGTGGTAAGGATTAACTTTTACCCTCAAAAGCACAGGCTAGATTCTGAGAAGGCATTCTCTGACAGAGTAATGAATTCTTTTATGGGAGTAAATCTTAAACACCCACTCAGTCTCAGCCATACCCACCTGAGGGCAATAAGCCTGGCAGATGGTTTTGTCAGTTTCTTCTTAACCCTTTAAGTGACTCTGAGGCTGCTCATTCATGACAGTTAGGTACTAAGTATCACCTGATTATTTCCTAGTGCAGATCTCTAGTGCTGCCCTACTTAAAACGTGTATGGTGATATATTTTTGATCTATATGTGTGTTCTCAGGTACAACAAAGTTAAGCAGGGTGACATTATGAAGAGTTTTCTTCATCTGCTCTCTCACTAGGAGGATTCCTAAGCAGGACTGCTGCTATTTGTCCAGAATCCTCTCCCTCAGCACTCCCAGCCGAGGAACGCACGGTGCTTGGCACCTGCAGAAAATTTCTTTCTTGCTTCCTCCTTAAAATTACGACTCTAGAAGGCATGGGCTATTTTATTTACCTTTTGATTACTGGCAAAATGTGTGACCAAATAAATGTTTGTTGAATGACTCATTGGCTATTTCTATGTATCTGAGACCAGCTTTCATATGCAAGGTAGAAAATGGCTTACAGGCAATGCTGGCAAGTACCTATTGGATACCAGATGCCATATATATGTATATGTATATGTATAATATGTATATATTATATACACACACTGCTGCTTCATTCTGCACATGCCCACAGTAGCCAGGGCTAAGCCAGGCCAAAACTTGGAGGTGAGAGTTCAATTCCAGTCTCCCATGTAGTGGTGGGGACCAACTTGAACCATCACTTACTGCTTCTCATGGTCTGCACTGGCAGGAAGCTGGAGTTGGGGGTGGAGTCAAGCCATGAATCCTGGTGTTCTGATATGAGAGAAAAGTGTCTTTACTGGCATTTTTTGGCCCCAAAATCTATGGGTCAAACACCTCCAGATCCAACACCCTCCCCTGAATGCCATATTTTGATGTGCTTTGAGAAGGGTAACCAAAAAGACACTGGATATTCACTGGGGTCTTGTTCAGGAATTTTCCCTGGACCTGTTTCCAGGTTTCCATGTCTATAAATCAAGAACACTAATAGTGCTCACCTTATACGTCTGTTGTGAAAACTGCATGGCTTAGTCCATGCAACGCTCCTACCTCAGTGCCTTGTGCACCATGAGCATTTCAGTGAGCATGAGCAGGTATTATTTTAATGCAGCCTAAAACTACATCTTCTAAAGAGAAAAACAACTGACGCACAAATCTAAGTGGTTTGTCTTTTATTTGTACAAACAATACATACACAAGACTGAAAGAATTTTCTAGTGTAACAACTTTGTAACAAAATTTAACTAAATGTAACATTTATGAAAAATATAAATCTTTGATTGGGCTATTCTTCCCAACAATACAAAGTTTACATAAAAACATTCATTATGAGCTATCAGTTGCAAACAAGTTAGGAAAAAAAAAGAATCATTCAAGTCACTTGTATTCTATTGGCGTTTACACTGAACATTCACACACTACATTTAATCCATCTAGAGGTTTAATTCTTCAAAAAGGATGACATGGAAGTCTAGCTACTGATGTCAGGAGTGAGAATGTGTTGCCTGAAGAGCTAAAAAGCATTGATTCAACTGCAGTTGGTCTACATGTGGCTCTGAGCCTGCTCTGGGTTATCACTTCTGCTTGGTAACTAACTTAGGACAGACATCTTAGTAAAAGCCTTTCACTGTGGACTGGGGTATTTATATTTGGATCACATCTTTGAATGCTTATGTGTTAAACTGATTTCCAAAGTGAATGATAACTGGTTTGGGTATCTACAGGGCATAACACTTTGGTCTTCTTATTCACATCAACTCTCAACACTCAAGACATTGTTATATATTTTTTTCTTTTAAGACTTTCCAACGCCCTGTGAGGGATAAAGCAGATATTACCAACAGCTTTACCTTATAGTTAAGAAAAATAATACACTAGTGAGGCCAAACATCTGGCTAGGAATAGAATGGGTTCATGGCAGAGATGGGCCAATCTCTTTCTTGCTCATTACTCTGCCTACTAAAGTCATTGCCATTAAAAAAAAAAAAAGCAAACCATTAGATTTGATGCCTTTTGCAAAGTCACCCGGTGACATGTGACAGGACAGATATGAAAGGAAGAAAATCACTTCCCTCTTTCAAGATGTAATGTGTTCTTTTCAGTAAGAATATTTGTGTTTTTAATCATGAAATACCATGTCACATCTTCTACTTTGAAGTGGCTAAGACTGTAAGTGGCTCAGCAGTATCCTCCACCAGGAAATGTAATAGATAAAGAAGCCTACACAGAGTGTACAGTGGTAAGAAAGTCATTACAAATGGGGACAAGAAAGAACTTTTGGACACTCTGAAGGTATATGATATATTTTAGCACAAGGACAGGAATATTCAATTTGTCCCAGAGTATTTTGTCATCTATCACTTTTTTTTTTAAGTAGGAAAGAACAAGAATGAGAATAAGGCAAATGTCATTGGTGTTTTAGAGACGATCTGTTGAGAACTTTCTATTAAGATAGACTGCAGGGATCTAAGAAATAACTGACGCCTCCATACAACTGACTGAATAGTATAGACTTCTGTTAGCATGATGATAGAACTGATGAAATTTGTAATGCCCTTCCTATGATTCCTTACATACAGCATGAATATGCATTTCAAAAAGATGTGAAAAAAATCATGTTTTCTTAATAAATGTGTTTTTTTGTAACTTAGGAAGCAAATAGTTTAAAAATCATATATTCCACCATATAGAAATCTTTGCATGCAGTTGTTGCGATCGTATCTTAAAACCGATTCTACACATTGAGTAGCCCTATGGTAGTGATGTTAGCTCTTGTCCCAGTCCAGTTTATGATCTCACAGTTCATGTTGTGTCTCTCAGAAAGTTGGGGATGCCTCCGGGAATTTTTGTTACAGGATTTTGCACCTTTATAGCTTTCATCTGCACACTAGGATAACACAGTTGTCAGGACTGTAAAATGGAAAGAGATTAAGGCTGTGTTTACTTATCACACACTCGTTCCAAGTCAAGCAGCTCTTTGTCCTCCTGATATCAACTGACATTTTAGAACTAATTTCTATCTGTAACTCTACCCTCTTTCATCTGAACCAACGACATGAATCATGCTATTTCTTACAACACATGTAATTCTAAATATTACTTCTAGAAACTTTCTATCATCCCTTCATTTTTAGATGCACTTTGGCAAAATATTCCATCTTGAATCAATCTCACATCCTTGTGTATTTCATGAACACATCAACACAACACTGGGATTTCAGCATCGTTCCTGTCCTTTAAGAAATGGGTAGTCAATCGTTTGGGATATAGGTGATGCATTATTTTTGGTGTCTTTTGCATGTGGATCATGTATATTGAGCAAGAAAAACACTTTATCAGTTGTCAGGGGCATAGCTGTGGCCCCTGGACTCTAGGGCGGAGCATACACGGTCATAACAAGAATTGTGTTTCTTAGAGGGTGTGGCTTCATTGGACTCAGAAGAATCGCTCACTGTGATGGGGCTGTCTCTGGCAAAGACCTCAGTAGACTCTCTCCATAAGCAATCCACAGACACCTTAAAGCAGTAACTGTTAGACTTTGGCCTGGATGCCTGTGTTGCATTACTGAAAATCTGTCTGCTGTTTGAAGTGGCAATTTTAATTTTTAGTGCAGCATCCACCCGGTCCACGACTGTGTAGATTCCTATACTCCCATCATCAAAGCCCACAATGATGTGCAGGTGCCTCTGAGAGAGAGCAAGGAAAGTGGGTGTTTTGTAAAGAGAACAAGCACCGATGTTTTTGCCATCTGCCAGTCTCATGACGATGAGACTGGATATTGCACCATTTTCATCCTCCTCCTCCCCATTCCGGAAACAGATGTACACCAGGTAGCGACCGTCTCGAGACAACTTCTGACGCCAGATGACCCCGGAGGCATGAACCACCCGTAATTTACCACTATGTAAATCCAGCACATTGATGTTTTCGTCTCCTCTAGATATAATGCCCAGCTTTCCATTGGGAGAAATTTCAAAATCTTCAAGATTTTTCAAGAAGTTGTTGGGAAGCTGCACACGTCGGCAGATCACTTCATCTGCCAGACTCCAGATGTTGACAGTCTCAGCTGATGTGATAAACACAATGATGTCAGGACAGTCAGGGATCAATTTGAAATTTACAATGGTGGTCCCATCTTCACAGCAAAATTTTTTGGTGATACTGCCTGTCCACAGACTGACTGCCAGCACTTTGCTCTTTGTCATGCCCACCACAAAGGTGTTTGCAGACGTAATAAAGGCATTCTGCAAAGTGGTCAGGATGTTGCAGACTCTGTGGCCCGTGGCCAGTCTCCACACCCTGGAGGCATTTTCCTCACACAGCGATACCACAAACTGATCATTGTGTGTTATCAGCAGCTGAGATATTCTCTGCCCATTAATTCGGAAGAGGTTTTCCCCACTGCTGGTGTGCCAGACGTACTGGCTGCTTTTGTCATCTGAAGTCACCATGATGTCCCCTGCAGATGTTAACACACAGTGTTCAACCGTTCCTTCATGCTTAAATACAGCTTCAATGAACCCACTGCTGAAGTTCCACTTATGAACGCAGTCAGAGCCATCAAGGGAGTAAATGATCTCCCCTCTGGCAGGCAACACCAGACTTTGGATGGGTTTCCCTGTCTTATCAATGTTGGACATAGCTGTGATTATATCTATATCCCAAATAGAAAGAATGCCGCTGGTTGACAAAGAGAGAAGCATGTTATGGTGATTGGATTTTACCAATTTCACTATGGTACCTGAGATCTCCTGTAAGCTTGCCATACATTGTCCTGTGTCTCGCCTCCAAAAGAACACGGCTGAGGTATTTTCCATGGTCGCAATGATGCAGTCTCCATTTTTGGACAGCACAGCAGATATGAAACGCTCATTGTGCTTGGCTCTGAATTTCTCAGCCACCTTCCACACACCAGTATCCAAGAGCTCAATGCTGAGAGCTTTACAGATCAGAATGGCACTCTGGTCCTCCGACAGTTCAATGCTGACCACCTCGCTGTCTTCTCTTCGGCAGTCAAAGTCATCGGTCAGCTGGGGGTTAGAAATGTCCTCTGTACTCCAAACAGAAAGACTGCCCTCGCTATCCACCATTACCATTTCTTGAGCTGTGTCCAAGATGAGAAGAAACTTCACAAAGCCTCCTGAGAATTCAGAGGTCACTGTACATAACTTTTCTCCACTCCCTAAGTGAAAAATGGTGGTCGTGTTCAGGTACTGTCCACAGAAAGCATACACACCGTCCAGAGAGCACTGGACACAGGTTACTTCATACCAGCAATGGAACTGGTAGAGGGGCCACCCATAGAGTAGATCGATGACAGTGACATCTTTGCTGGCTTCAAGCCACGCTAGGGCATGTTTGACTGATAGTGTAAATCCATTGATGTAGGTAGAGCTGCTTCCATGCTTGGTCCCTTTGATTTCCACTTCAGACAGGAGACAAGAGTTGACATTGTCATATACCAACAAGGTGTTATTGGTGGTAGCCACCACGAGGTACTTTTCATCACTGGTGAGTTTCATGCCCAGGATGACAGACTGGGCTGTAGTGATCTGCCTGAGTAGCTGGCGGCTCTCTACATCCCATGTGCTGATGGAACCATTCTCTAAAGCTGTGAGGACAGTACTCGGGTTACAGGTAGGCAGAATCTCTGTGACATGCAGGTGACTGGATGATAAAGGCAGGCGCTCCGGGCTGTATGTCACATCCATGGATGAATGCAAGGGCACGATAGAACAATACTTGGGCCCATCTTTGTCACATTCTAAAAGAAGGTGTCTTAGCTTGGGCAGGGAACTTACGACAGGCAGCAGTCTTTGCTGAAGCTCTGCTGAGAGCGAGCCAGGAAATGCGATTACCTTGGTTTTGATGCTGCGGAGGGTGCTTGCCAGAAACTTGAGCTCCTTCTCCTGTGAGTAGTTGTAAGCCAGCTCAATGTCCGAAAGCACTTTATCAAACTGGCCAATTTTGATCATGGTATAAAGCCAGCTGAAGTTCATGATGATGCCATAGAGCAGGTCATCGGTTTTTCCACATCTTGTCAGATGGTGCAGAAGCTCCGACATTTTCCGATGGTTAACGAAGAAAATGTCTGGCTCCAGGGGGTTGCACTGGAAAACCCAGGGTTGGTCTGGGGCCTGCCTGTCAAAGGAAGCCTGCTCCATGAAGTGCTTTTCTTCCTCAAGCAGACTTCTGCTCTCCAAGTCAAGGCAGCCATTCAGGTAGGGGTCTTCAAGGCAGAACGCTTTCCTCCTGCCCCCTGACCAGACTCCTAGAAAATAATCTGCCAGTATGGTGTGCATTTCACGCAGATCACTGTCTTCCTGCAGATATAGCTTCTGGGCTATGAGATGCAGGTGTCTGTTGGCCCAGACCAGCAGTGTGACGTTCTTGACGTGTCTTTCTACTAAGTATCCATTGAGTCCTTCCTTGAGCCTTGCGATATACAGATAAGGGACTCTGAGGGGATTGTTGGGCCTGGTGTGCTCATTGAGCTCATTCATAACAGTGTTGTCCAGGGCTAAGACATCCTCCAGTTCCATCTCACTCAGACCCATCTTGGCCAGGGTGATGTAACCAAGAGCCCTGGAGATGAGTTTCTGACCACACTTCTTCTCCAAGGACCAGAATAACTGCTCTATACTCTCATGAACAGTGACGCAGAGGGAGGACTCATCGACGTCTTTGTGAGATCTCCAGTGTCTCACCTCCCTGAAGGTCAGGTTCACAAACATCGGCAACGTGCACTTAGAGAAGGCATTGTTTACATAAATCTGCTGGCCGGACGTGACCTTCCTTTTTACTCGTAGCAGCTGGTGTTTGAGCACCTGACTGCACATCTTCCGGTCCCGGGGAATCAGCTCGATGTAGTTGTCTTCTTCGTGGATAAGGCACTTGAGTTTCTGCAGGATCCCATGTTTGTTGGGCAGTGTGGAGAGGACTATCCGTACAAAGCGGGGAAGGTGAGCTGGGAGCCACCAGAGCTTTCTGGCGTCATCGTTCTCTGAGAGCTGCTCTAGGGCATCGAATATTATCACTAGGGGTCTCTGCAAGGAAGATTCATTCAAGAGGTTTATAAACAAGTCGCGGAGGTCATGGATCTTCTTCGGGTAGCTTTGAACCAGACACCGGTAGTTAGCTGCCAATTGTTCACAAACACTCAGGAGGAGAGTCCTGAGGTCGGTGCTCATGTCTGTAGTCCCCAGGAACCTCACAACGACTACAGGGTCAGAATCTGGTCCTGTGTCATCCTGAAGCCAGCCATAGGCCTAAAATACAAAAGTGTTTGAGTTTAGAAGGCCGATAGGGATTCACATGGTCCTAGGCAACTGTGTTTTCTCCCAGCAGAGATCAGACTTCTTGTAAGCCCCATTAAGTGGAAAGTGGCCTAGAACTGAGAAATGGACAATTCTTCCGGAAAGGTCAGAGAGCTTTCACAAAACTCACACTTGAAAAGCTACAGGTAAGATGCTCAGGATCTCAAAGGCAACCCTAGCCAAAGGTAGAAAAGTGGTGGAAACAGGATTTTTCAATTATAGGGCAACATTTCAACATTTCCTCAGTATGTAAGTGTAGACATCTGGTGTGGTCATTTTTTTCATCACTGAAGCTGCATTTCCTGGTACCACTGCTTAGGTGCTTAGAATTCCTCTAATTATTAAGGAATGACTTACATGCTTTATTGAGCTACACAACAGCCAGATTTCCAATTACAGTGTGACAGAATGTTCAATACTCAAATTATGCTGAATGTAATGTTTAATGAGTCAGAGACATTTTGTGGTACCAAAGGGTCATTACTCTGTTTACTTTTATCTTTGCCATAAAAGTCTATAAGGCTAGCTAAGAAGAGTTTTGTTAAATGCTAAACTTTATAATACATGGTTCACATACAAGGACACAGTCATTAGCACTCATTGCTTCCCTGGAGAGCAGGTGGGATGGGATGATAGTATCATGTAGTAGAAGAGGAAATGGAGGCCCAAAATGGATACATAAGTAGCTCATGCTTAAATGGTCACTGAGAGATTAAGTTAAAGTGGAAGTCACTTATGGCTTTCCTTTGAAGTGTTTTTCACTTAAAACCTGTAGAGACAAAGTATGTGAGGAGACTAACAAATTTATTATTATTTCTGTCTGGAGAGGCAAGGGTTAGAAGGGATATGACCAAAGTATTAAACACTTCATTGAGTTTGGTGTGATGAATTCGATTAGTCATAACAAAAAGTCTTCTTTGGAAAGGAAGTATTAATTTATACTTGAAGAAATAATTGTATAGAACTTAGTAGACAGAGAGAGTTCAGATTTAGACCTAAATAAGATTAGAAAAGACTTATGCATGTCAGCTTCACCGTGAGCTATGAAATAGGCATGTTGTCGTTGTTTAGCCCCAATCTTTGGAGCTGGATTCAAGAGACACTCTGATTACTCTACAGTTGCTCCTGAGTGGCTCCCCCATTGATGCTTACAGTGATCACAGGCATCTCATCCCTGTTGCCAATCACAGGACACAACGTGTTAGGTCAGTAGATGGTATCTCCACATTCATGAGTTTGGAAAGTGTTGGGAAGCACAGGAGATGGACATGAGCTATGTGTCTGTAACCTCAGAGGCAGCAAGGAGGGGGAGTGCAGGCTGTTATGGAGGATGGGTTCGTCATTCCTCAGGGGAAAGGGAAGCAGAGAAAAAATATGACAGATCATGAAGATGTTCAGGAAATCAAGTTCTGGTTTTGATAGAGTAACCAATCACAGGAAGAGCAATAAAGAGATTGTGACTCAACACCAGAATAATATAAATCATCATCCTTTGATACCAAGTGAACTGGAGGCAAAACGGAACTAGTTTAGTCTAGATTAGGTGAAGATACATGCCAACAGATGCCACATTCCAGAGACAGGTCCTACACCTTCACATAAAACTTGAAGGGAAAGCTCTGGAAACCAGTTTTTCTGCCTTTCTTGGACTACCCATATCCAGCCTGGAAAAAGAGTAGAGATGCTGAGAATATTAGAGATGAGGGTGTTGTGGTTTTCAGTGTTTACTGTTTCATCTCCAAATCACAGGATAGAGAAATGCCCAGTCTTCAATTTGGGGAGAGGCTCCCATGAACTACTTACCACATGCCCCTTAAATCCTGGGCCTTGTGGTCATTTGAAAAACACCCAAGGCTGGGCAGCTGTTCCATTGGAGGAATGGCAGACAGTCAGCTGTGCTGGGTCTGCTCTGGAGGGTGAGAATTGCTCAGAACAATAGGACACCTGAATGCATGGCATATACCAGATGCTGGCCACCAGCAAGAGGGAGCTGACAAGGCAATCTATTCGCTTGTTGTGCTTTCTGCAGGTTCTGTGCCGAGGAACTTAACAGAAGGATCCCTAAGTGAGCTTAGATATTAGAAGCTAAGGAAGTGTTTACAGAACAAAAGCACTGCCTGTGTGTCAAGAGGAGCATGAATGAGAGATGCTCAGTGAGGACAGGGTACAAGGGACAGGAGGAGAAGGACCTCCAGGCAATCATGGAAAGTCTCAGGTGACAGGAAAGGCAGATTTTGGAAAATTTATTCGTTTTAAAAGTAAAAGTTGCAGAGAAACATGGAAAGAGAATGAGATCTTCCATTCTCTGGTTCACTCTCCAGATGGCCACAACAGCCAGTGGTGGGACAGGCCAAAGTCAGGAGCCTAGAGCTCTATCTGGGTCACCCACATGGATGGTAGGGCCCCATGAATTGGGTCATCTTCCACTGTTTTCACGAATACATTAGCAGGAAGCTGGATGGGAAGTAGAGCAACTGGGACACAAACCCCTGCTCATATGAGATATTGGTGTCACAGGTGGTGGCCCCAACTCACCCTGCCAGAAGGCCAGGCCAGAGGCAGCTTTTAATTGTAGCAGAGAGTTCTAAGCCTATTTCTGAATAGTACTGGTCATGTAGGAACTCATGTCTGCCTCATTTTTCTTATGAAATCTAAACCACACTCCTGGAAGGTTCATAGATGCAGTTGGAATGAAGAATGAAGAGAAAAAAAAATACTACATGAAGAGAGAAAGAAGATGGCTATTTGCTAGATAGCTCCTTTATGGTAGGCCTTATTTGGGGGAAGAAATGTATAATATTAATTAGTACTTCAGATTGGTCATAGTAAATTCTGAGCTCATGCTGACTTAGTCACCAGAGGTGTCCTGGAGGACTTGTCTGAGAGGAATGAAAAGAATATTGGGGTCTGCCCTAGTTTTTATCCAAATGGGATGGAGAGAATTAACCTCACAACGTGAGTTTGAACAGTGAGAAAAAGTTTGTGGTCATGCCCTGTGACTCTCATTCTCTCTAGATAACTTACTCTAGCAAAAAATGAAATACCAAAATATACATCCCTGAAGGATTATAATTCAGATAGTAAAAACAGGACATGAAAATAAATTTGACCAGTTTACCCTTCTCTGGAAGTAACTGTTTTCATAAATATGCAGAAGAAAAAAATAGGCTTTTACCTTCTTTGCCACTTCAGCGAGCAGAAGTGTCTTCCCAGTACATGGTCCACCAAATATAATGAGAGGGCTGACATGCCCAGCTTTGCTTGGGAGAATGTACTTATGCACAACATTTAGAGACTCACATTTGTACTCATAGAAGGAGGCATATGTTTTACATAATGATGAATGCTGAAGGATTTCATCATAGAGTGTATCTGTTTCAGTGTCAAAATTCTGTTGCACCGTGGCCTGAATTATGTCAATCATGTCCTCATAAAATTGTTTTCCAAGTCCTTCTATATAATGATTTTCTATTTCTTGGGAATAGCCCAGTTTCATGTCACAATGAGTAACTGATGTGTATACTCTCAGATTAGCTGATGCAACAATAGTAGGAATAAATTCATCCCTAAGTTTTATCAGCTTCTCTTGAGCTTCTGGGTCCCGAGTAATCCTGGGATCTGTTCCAGTGATATCCATGTATTTTCCCATCTCTGGAATTTTCACAAAGCGTTCAATGTTAGCAATTTTCCTAATGTAGCAAACGCACTTCTTTAGGAACGCTGGAGTCTGCTTTCCTAGAGCGAAGTCAAACTCATCCTCTATGGCTGAAAGAAAATAATAGCAGCAGTTTATTGCCTAGATTGAAGGAGCAAAATGCCCATATCCCAGTACTGAATGCTTAGACACCAATGATAGGTTGTGCTTAAAGTATGTTGTGAAGTAGTCTACAGAATACTCTCCTAATTTTCTAAGCCTCCTGGGACCCATATGCAAAGATTTTAAATTATTTCCTCAAAGACAGGGAAAGGTTGACCATAAATATGATAAAAGCAGAAAATCCAGTTAGGGTGTAGAGTTGATTTTTCCATTGCTGTCTGTATCCCTCTTGGCAGCTGTTGTAAAACTGAAGAAAGGTTAGGGACTAATATGGACCAGGTACTTTATCCTTTACAGTGTGGTCCAACCACATTGTTTGCAGAATAGTGTACTCTAGACAAGTATACTTAACACATATATACAAGCACATTAAAAAGAAGATATAATCATTTTCTGATTATTGAACAGTTGGAATCATTCATGCCACTGAAGCGAAATTCCATTGTACTTATAATAAAGGCACTAAAAATGATTTTGCATTTAACTTTCTTCTAAGTTAATATCATGGCTTATAATGCACACTTATGAACAACTCAGTCTACATTCTTAATCATGTTGGTTCCACAAAGAACATTGAATACTGGATCAGTGGCAATAAAATATAATTTTATGGAAAAAAATAAAAAAACATATAACATGATTTTACCAATGAAAATGAATTGTGAGGCAAGCTGTTCCTCCTTCATGCTGTCCTTCCTTACTTCCCCTCCTTTTATTTCTTTTTTCCTTCCTTCCTATAATCAGTCTTTACTGAGCACTATTATTTGCCATGCATGTTAGTAGTTACACAGAATATGAGAGGCTGAATGTATGTGTTCTTCAAAATTCACACATGCAAACCCAAACTCCAATGTGATGGCATTAAGACACTGAGACCTCTGGGAGGTGATTAGGTCATGAAGGTGGAACCCTTACGCATGAGAGCAGTGTAATTATAAAGAGGAACCAGAGAAATCCCTTAGCCGTCCCACTCGGCAGACACAGCAAAGAGGCCATCTATAAACCTGAAAGCTCTCCTTGGACACCTAATCTGGAGGTTGCCTTGATGTTGGATTTTGCAGCCTCCAGGACTTTAAGAAATCAATTTCAATTGCTGATAAACTACCCAGCCTATGGCATTCTGTAGTAGCAGCCCAAACAGACTAAAACATTGAGCTTACACTCCAGTGGGGGACAGCAGACTTTTAACCATACAATCTCCAAAATAAATGTTCCATGATCACTTTTAGTCCTGTTACAGGGATTAAATTGCTGTGGTGAGAACAGTTAGCAGCACAGAACGTAAGTGGGATGTGAAGAGAGACATAGACAAAACTAGGCTGTATGTACAGGGTGCTTGGCAGGACAGGATGCAGATTTCACAAATGAGCCTGAGTAACGGAGTGGTGTGATACAGTGTTAGCTGTACAGAATTGTGGTTAGAGGTAACGTGCAACTCTATGATTTTTGGAGACTTATTTATAACCTTTGAGATTTTATATAAATATTACAGTTTTCCTCTTGCTTTGTTGGAAAACTGCATTTATTTTCTGTTTTTCTTAGTGTTCTTTTGTAAGATTTATTTATTTACTTGAAAATCAGAGTTATAGAGAGAGGGGGAAAGAGGGGGGCTTCTGTCCAATGGCTCACTACATAGATGGTCACAACAGCCAAAGCTGGGCTGAGCCAAAGCCAGGGACCAGGAGCTTCATCCAGATCTCCCATGGGATGGCAAGAGCCCAAGCACTTGGATCATTTTCTGCTGCTTTCCCGGGCAATCAACAGGGAGCTGGATTAGAAGCAGAGCCGCAGGGACACAAACCCATACCTATATGGGATACTAGTGTTGTAGGCGATGGCTTCACTTGCTGTCCCACAACACTGGCCAAGATAGCCTAAGTCTAGCAAGCTACAGCACCTGACGAGTGTGCCACAAGGATTGCATTCCCAGCCCAGGTAACTACCACCCATGAGTCATTACTCTCTTTTCTATTCCCGAGGGCACACAGTTTTTTTTAAACATTAAATTTTTTATTTTTCATGATACAGTTCCTTAGGCCCAAGGATTTCCTTTCCACCCTCCCTCCACTGTTTTCCCCTATATTGTGACGATATTTAGTCCCTTAGCTCCACTCACAAGCCCATCATTTTGCTATTTAAGTATATTCTGATATTGCACATATAGACAGTGTTATAAAATCCAGCATTCTAGTGTCAATATATACTTAACAGTTTCATTGGTAGCCCAACAGAGATGCATATTGCAGTGTGTCTCTACTTCATGGTATACTTGTCCATTGTACAGATTGTCTAGGTCAATATTGGTATATACATGCTTACCTATATATTTATTGATCTTGTATTTTGCATGAAGGTTGCTTTATATCAGAGAGAACATATGATATTTGTCCTTTTGGAATTGCCTAAGTTCACAGAAAATGGTCTCAAGTTGGGACCATTTTGTGTGCATTCAGTTTTGATGTTTACAAAAAGATACCATTTTGAGTTCTAATTTGGTTCTCTCCTATTGTTGGAAAAGGTGGATCTAGAAGTGTAAAGAATAACACTCAACTGCAAAGAAAATATATAGCTTTATCTTGAATTCTTACTTTCAAGATTTCCAAAAATATAAAATAATGTACTATATCCATTTGAAGAGATGGCTCTTTTGCAGCAATTTTGAATGTGCAGGCAAGGACTTAATTGAGTTTGAAATGTCAACTTAATAAAGTGTTACGAGCAGGTATATTTTCAGGAGATGCAATCTGAAGATGAAAACAGCCCCCTTGCAGCTGTTCGTATGATATGAACCTTGACCCCATGGCTGTCTGTGTAGAGTTCTGAGGGACAGAGAATATTAGGAGGAGGTAGTTGTCAGTAAAATATCTGACCATTGAGCTGTATGACTAAAAATAAAAAGATGCCTAGCTGGAGGCTTGTACATAAATATTAAGAAAACTTTGGGCATTTTTTCTTTCTTTTGTGGCACATTTTTAGGTAATTGTGCCCTTGATAAGAATGGATAGCTACAGCCTCAAAAATGAATCAAAAAGTCCCAGAAGAATCATATTTCTCAGAAAAGCCCCTAAGTTGAGGTTTTTTTTTTTATGAGTCAACATAAAAGAACATCTGCTCCTCCAGCAGATGGAAGCATTCAGAAAAATCAAATTTTGCTAGATATTAAACTAGATTCAGTGTGCAGTACCATAAAAGGGAGGCAGTGGCTGCACCTTTGATCTAGTTATTTTATTTATTTATTTTTTTAACGTACTGAGGATATGTGGGAATTACCTGAGAACAGGTACCTCTTAGCTTGGCTGTGTTTCATTTTACCCTTTTCATGTAACAGTTTTACAGCAGCCTTAAATATCTTCTTGAGCTCATCTGATATCTCTTTCCACGTCATCTCATTGTCCGCAGTGGTAGAAGGCTGCACCTGTGGAAATGTGCAAGCGAAAAGTTCAAGCCACCAAAGGAAAACCATTATTAAAGAGAAACAATTGCTGTCACCTGAAGGTCTTATCAGTGCAAAGATTATGATCAAACACATTATACATAATGTCTCATTTAATCTATTCCCCTCTTATAACCCTGAAAGTTAAAAATCACCTTCAGGCCTCTTGTGAATCTGCCCTGGTTTCGTAAGGCTATGATCCAGACAGTAATTTGTCCTTGGGCTTTCTTATTTTACCATGTTTTCCCTTTTTTTTTGAGTTTTGATACAAATGCTTTAACAAAACTATCACTTGAGCACCCTTTAAAAGGGAGGGGCTTGTATACTACTGTTCCATTTGTCTATAATCATTTGTTTCAATGATCTGCTATGCAATATGAGAACTGTCTATTAAGACAGTAAAATTTATAGTCTTAATAAGCCTCCTAATTTATACAATCATTTATTTACCAATATTTTATGCTGAAATTTCATGTGCAATTTTGGGAATAATTTATATTCCACTAGGTGACCATAGAAATAAATGCAGATGTACAAATAACTCATATGCTGAATTCCATTTTGTTTGGGTAAACAGCAAAGACAGGGATGGCTGAATGATGCAGTGGATCTATTTTTAGATTCCTGAGGAATCTCCATTCTGTCTTCCATAATGGTTTGTGCTGGTTTACGTTCCCATCAACAGTGGATTTGAGTATTTTTTTCCCCCACATCCTTGCAAGTATTTATTATTTTTAAAGTCCTAGATGACACCCATTCTAACTTGGGTTTTATTTGCATTTCCCTGATAGCTAATGATCCTGTGCATTTTTTCATGTGCCTGTTGGCCACCTGTATTTAATGGTTTGAAAAATGCCCATTCATTTTTGTTGCTCATTTCCTAATGGGATTGTTTGCTTTGCTGCACTTGGGTTTTTTTTGTGGTTGCTACAAATCCTGAATATGAATCCATCATCAGTTGTGCAGTTTGAAATTATTTTCTCTAATTTTGTCAGTTGCCTCTTCATTTTTTTGAATGTTTCCTTTGCGGTGCAGAAGCTTCTTAACTTGGTGCGATCCCATTTGTCTAATTTTTGTTTTTATTGCCTGTGTTTTTGGGGTCTTTTCCAAGAACTCTTTGCCAATGTCAAGGTTGTGTGTTTACCTGATGTTTTTCTTTAGTAATTTGATGGTATCAGCTCATAGATTTAGACCTTTGATTGATTTTGACTTGATTCTTGTATAAAGTGTAAGACAGGGGTCATGTGTCAGACTTCCGCTTGTATAGACCCAGATTTTCCCAGCAATGTTTAATGAAGAGATTGTACTTTCTCCATGGACTGATTTTGGCTCATTTGTCAGATTAGTTGGTTAGAGCTGTGTGGATTAATTTCTGGGGCTTCCACTTTGTCCCACTGGTCTCCATGTCTTTTTTTGTGCCAATGCCAGGCTGTTTTGATGATAATGTCATCGTAGCATGTCTTGATATCTGGTGTCGTGATGCCTTGAACTTGGTTCTGTAACTTAAAATCGCTTTAGCTATTTGCAGTCCCTTGTGTTTCCATATGAATTTTAGCATTTTTTTCTAGATATGAAAAGAATGTCCTTGATATCACACTTAATTTGGATTGGAAGCACACTAATGAAATAAACTGGTCCAAATAGAGAAACATGTTTTCTCTGATTTGTGTGAGCCAATATAGAACACAGGAATGAAATGGACACCCTGTGATTTGTTTTCAGCCCTTACGTATAGTCCATGGAACTGTAATCTTTCCACTTTTTACTTGTTAAAAGTTACTACAATTAGTGGTGTACTAAGCCTGAGATTATGGTGATGAAATTTATGTTTTTTTAAAAAATATATATTTATTTTATCTTTATTGGTGAGTCAGATACACAGAGAGGAGGAGAGACAGAGAGGAAGATCTTCCATCCATTGATTCACTCCCCAAGAGGTCGCATTGGCCAAAGCTGTGTTGATCCAAAGCCTGGAGCCTCTTCCAAATCTTCCACGTAGGTGCAGGGTCCCAAGGCTTTTTGCTGTCCTGTTTTCACAGGCCACAGGCAGGGAGACGGATGGGACGCAGGGCTACTGGAATTAGAACTAGTGCCCATACGGAATCCTGAATTTTGCAAGGTGAGGACTTTAACCACTAGGCTACCACATCGGGACTGGAAATCATGTTCTTAGAGACATCAAAGAGAAAAAAGAAAGGAAGGAAGGAGGCAGATTGAAGGAGAAAGAAGAGGGGAGAGAAAAAGAGGAAGAGAGAGAGAGAAAAAAGAGAAAGCACAATATTTTCTTAGAATTTTACCTATGAAATGCATGGCATTTGTTTCCCTTTTATTCACAAAATTTGTTAAAAATTGAAGATGGAATCGTGCAAGCCAATTTAATAGTATCTAACCCACTGTGTAAACATGGTTTCTTGAAGTTCTGTAATTTTTCTATTGACAATTAGTCCTAGAGTTTTTAACTAGAGAGTCATTTTGGTTTACTCTAATATTCCTATCTAGAGGAGTGGTATTCTGACAAATAATGACATTGAAAAAAATGTGCAGGAAGAAAAAGAAAAATCAAGGATTCTGATGTGATTTCATGCTGTATGAAAAAAATGCTTTATGCTGCCTATGAGGATGACAAATACACAAGGGTCCTGACATATGCCTCTTTTCTTTTTTTTTTTTAAAGATTTATTTTTATTATTGTTTAATTGGAAAGGCGGATATACACAGAGGAGAGAGAGAGAGGAAGATCTTCCGTCCGATGATTCACTCCCCAAGTGAGCGCAACGGGCCGATACTATGCCGATCCGAAGCCAGGAGCCTCTTCCGGGTCTCCCACGCGGGTGCAGGGTCCCAAAGCCTTGGGCCGTCCTCGACTGCTTTCCCAGGCCACAGGCAGGGAGCTGGAAGGGAAGCAGGGCTGCCGGGATTAGAACCGGCGCCCATATGGGATCCCGGGCATGCAAGGCGAGGACCTTTAACCACTTGTGCCACCGCGCTGGGCCCATATGCCTCTTTTCATAGCTGTCTAACTGCTGACCACACCAAGGATGCTCTCATGGCTAGAGGAATGCGCACCCACACCTGGTTTTGAATCTGTCTGAATACTGCATGCCTTGAATAGGCTCATCTCACCCATCCTCCTGTGTCACTCAGCTTGAGGATACACACACAGTGTATGTGCTTGAGTACTAAGTTAATGATGAGACAATGATGATCCCATTATACTGAAGGATGAGTTAACCACACACAGCAATTCTGTGTAAAATATGAGAATACTGCTCATTTAAATGCTTGTTATACACTAAGCAAATAAATAAAAAGACTGTGAAAGCAGCTAACATGTTAAGAAGGGCCTGTCTACTAAAATAAAAATCAAACACACACACATCTTTCAGACAATAAATACTAACTTTTGAACATGAGGTCTCAATATTTAGATAGCATGGACATAGTGTAAGAAAAACTTATTCAACTAGAGAAAAAAGGTTATGTTCTGGAAGTCACCTCAGAGAGATAGGAAAATTGATAAAGTGAAAGAGAATTAAGAAACACATAGGGCAGAATATTATGGTCTAGTGACTGGCTATGTATCATATATGGCACTTTGGTCAATGATGTGTTGAATATACATACATTAGTGGTCCCATAAGATTATATTGCCTAATGATGACATAGCTACCTTGACTTGTATAAGAACACTATGTTGTTTATGCAGTGATATAGCAACCCAATGGCACATTTCACAGAAGGTATCCTTGCCATAATAGTAAATGCAATTAAAAGAAAAAAAGGAAAGAAAAGAGGGGAAAGAGATTATTTGAACAGATGATTTTCTAGAACTGAAAAAAATATGAATCTACAGATATAGATTAAATATAGAGAATTCATGGATATAAATATCCAACAATCAAAATAATTATTGAAAAGTGGGCAAAATAGTAATTTTCTTTCAGATAAACACAAAATTCAATACTAGTGAATCTTCATTAGTGGGACTTTTGTAGGTTGCATTTTAAGAGGAAAGAAAATGATCCAAGAAAGAAGGTTGGAGATGCTAAAAGGAAAGGCGAGACAGAGATTCCAAAGTTTTATAGCTTTGGATTTAGATTTTCTTTTAATTTTAAGGAACACATCATGATGCTTGCTTATTTTGAAAGGCACAAACACACAGATGCATACACATGTCCTATCCATTACTTCACTCCTTCTACATGTTCACAATCATCACAGTTGGGCCAGGTGAAAACCGGAAGCCAGGAATTCCATCATGTCTCCCATACAGTCTTTAGGAACCCACTCTGTGGGACAGTGTCTCACGGAGCACTTTATCAGGAAGCTGGAATTGGAAGCAGAGCTGCGACTTGAACCAAGGCAGTCTGAAGGGGCATGCAGATGTCCATTTAGTAGGTGCCTTGACTGTGGTATCAAATGCTCACTATGTTTTGATAAATGCATATACTCAGTAATGATTACCACAATCAAACATCTCTCTCCTCTCACATGGTTCCATTTCAGTGTGAGAACACATGCAGTCACTCTCAAATTTTAACTATATATTACCATTCACTATAGCTACCATGTTCGTCATAGGTTTGCAGAATTCATTCAGCTTGGACCTGCAAGTTGTACCCTTTGATTAACATCTTCCATGTTCCATGGTAAACTTTCTTATACTGTCTACTTTTAGTTCAACTTCTCTAGCTTCCACATACAGCTGAAATCACATAGCACTGTATTTCTGTGTCCAGCTTCTGTCAAGCTTGATGATCTCTAGGGTTGTTCCTGTTGTTGCGAATGAAGGCAATTCCCTCTTACGGCTGAAGAATATTCTTCTCTCTCTTTTCCTCCCCAGTTCTCTGTATGTAACAAGAAATGCATTTTTTAATCCACTCACTTAGTGATGGACATTTCAGTTGTTCCTGTCTCTAGGCCACTGTGAATAATGTAAAACACAGTAAACATAGGAGGGCAGATAATGACTGTTTCCTTTGGATGCTCACCGGAAGTAGGAGTGCTGGATCCCAAGGCAGCTCTATCTTACATGTCCTGAGGGTCTGCCCTACTGTTCCCCAGAGTGGCTGCTCATAGTCTTGCCAGTTTTGCAGCACAGCTCCTTTTCCTTGACATCCACAGCTATCTCTTGGTTTTCTGATGATGACCATTCCTAAGGTGTGAGGTGACATTTCACGTGTTTTTGATTTCCTTAAGGACTACTGTGAGTTGAGCTGTGCAAAGAAAATGTAGGGCCTTGTGCAGTGTGTCTGTCTGTTCGTTGTGCCTCTATTGTCAGGAAACCCACTCCTGGACATTGTAAACAATATTATAAAGCAATGGGTTTTATAACATGCACTGCAGAGGAAGGTAACTTACTGTATTTTTGTTGCTTCTCAGCACTTCTGACCTGGGTCTGAGGTAATAAGCTGCAGGCACAGAGTTCTCATCTCGACAGTACCACTCTTCCATTAACTTGGTCTCCAACTTGGCCTCCATGGCAGCATCCAAGATCATTTCAAACTCTGAGGCTTCGACTTCTCCAGGGATTCGGATGTTCCCATATTTCTCACCTAATAGTCCCTGTGTATCAACAGGAAAGTTCAGTTTAGAGTATCACCAAGAAAATGCATCTGCCCATTCATATCATGTGATCATTCAGGAAATGTTGATAAGTAGACAGTATGAGACATTGCTTCATCACGTTCTTTTTAAATGACAGTGGTTTGAATTCATAACTGAAAGTAGATTAATCGTATTATGATAAATTCCTCAACATGCTGAGAAATTAGATTACCTGTAATACCAGGTAAATTCAAAATACCAAATTTCATAGCAAATTTACTTTCTTCAAGTTTACATACAACAACAAAGACTGATCTGAGATTTGTTTGTAACAAACAAACAAACAAAAAGACATGATGGACATTAGGAAATGTCAAACAATGTAAAATCTCAAACAAAAATTCTGTCAGATGTTGATACTATGATTCCAAGCTCCAGATTCACCCAGCTACAAGGGAAAAATGGCTGCTGTTAACTTGGCAAAAGAATCACAAAAACAAAAATAAAAACATAGGCTTGGTACTACTGGAAAATAATAAATACTTCTGATGGCCAAGAAAATTGATCCAGTATTTCTCCGAAGTTTTCTGTGAACGTGTTTAAAAGTTGTAGAAATCCATGTAGAAAACTCTTGACTTGGCATTTTTTTTGTTCTGGAAATTTGTCTTTAGGAAGAAAAGAGATACATAGAATTTACTCTAACATTTAGGATGAGCCTATGTGTTTGAACAAGAAATGGTCTAGCCTAAATGTCCAGCTCAGGAAACATTGGAATAAATCATGATACATCCTGTGCTCTCCTTGGGAGCGCATAAACTAAATAAATATTACAATCATTCACAGGGAGTACCAGGTTATTTTGTAGAACCATATTGAACTGACTCAGAAAGTTGTTAAAAATATCAGGTGAAAACAGTAAGTTGGAAAATAGAATGCCTAAGACAATTCTGCTGCTTTATATCAGATACATATCTATATGCTTATTTATAAAGAAATATGGAGAGAATATCAAATATATTAGAAGAGAAAGGATATTATGCTTACGTATTCACAGTCATATACACACACATAAAAGAATATTTTGAAAGAGAACATAGCAAGGTTATTAATGGTTTATCCATCAGTGGGTAGTTTTGAACTTAGCTATTCTGTGAATTTACTGTATTTCTCCACTTTAATATTTTATTTATTATTTTTGAGGTTACAGTTTTACTTTATAGTCAAAGGGTTAATACTTGACTATATAAAGAGTTCTACAGCAAGTAACAAGAGCATAATTGAGCAGGAAAATAATCAAAGGCTATAAGCAAAGATCAAATGAAAAGATGCTTGGGGATGGTGCTGTAGCTAAGCCTCTGCCTGCAGTGCGGGCATCCCTTAAGGCTCCATTTCATCCTGGCTGCTTCCCATCCAGTTCACTGCTTATGGTCTGGGAAAGCAGTGGAGGATGGTTCAAGTCCTTGGGACCCTGTACCTGCGTGGGAGAAAGGAAGAAGCCCCTGGTTCCTGATTTCAAACTCTGGCTGCTGTGGCCATTTAGAGAGTGAACCAGCAGATAAAATGTATAATTCTGTTTTTCACATAAAAAAAAAAAGAAATCTTTTTTTTAATGTTTAACTTCACTCACAGAAAATAAATTGTAAAATGGTCACAAAACATCAAAATGTATTATTAAGCTTTAGAAAAAAAGAAATTCTATCATTTGCATCAAGATGGCTAGAACTGGAGGACATCATGTTGAATAAAATAAGCCTGACACTGACAGACAAATACTGCATGTACTCCCCTATACGTGGGAGCTAAAACAATAATAATAAAATACCTGGAGAAATTTCTTATTATATTTACTGCTCATGACTGCAACTTCACTATTCCTTTAATCTGATATTGGGAAAGTGAGAGAGGAAAAAATCCTTGCTAGATCTCTGCCCAGAGTTGTTTATTTCTAGCACATGGAAATCACTAATAAATACATTTGTTGAATAGGTGAACAAACTGGCAGAAATATCATTGTTTGAAGTTTTCTCTTATATTAAAATATAAAATCTCAGCTTTCAGAGGGTGGAGTAACAGTTTGGGAAAGTATTATTTTGTCAGCAGCATTCATTTAATCCCATCTTCTTTAAGTAAGATTGCTCAAATGTACCGCTGGTCACCCTCCCCTCTTTATCTCCTCAGCTTACAGTCTGTTTGACATATCTGGTTACTGAAGGAGACTATGGTTAACTGGATTCTGTCTCAAGCTTACTTCTATTCAGTAGCTGCCTCAGTGACCAGATAAGCATGACTGAGGACATGACTTGGCTGTTCTCTTTGGCTGCCAAATTCCCTTTCAAAGGGGTTTATGTGGAGAACTTCACATTCTTGGTATCCATTAGTATAGCAGGGTATACAAGATTTTCTAAAAAGTATCTGTTTGAAGCCAAAATACTAGAGATCCTCCAACTGCTAGTTCACTCCCCAAATACTTGTAACAGGGAGGCTGGGTCAGGCCAAAGCCAGGAAGTCCATCCAGGATTCCCACGTGGGTGGCAGGAACCTAGGTACCTCAGTCACAGTCTGCTGTCTTCCAGGCAGACTGGTAGGAAGCTGGATTGGAAGCAGAGATGGGGTACAATTCCAGTCACTCAGATCTGAAAAGCAGCCATCCCAAGCATTGATTTAACCTGCTACATTACAATAGTTGCCCTAAACAAGAGTTTCTTAGTGCCTTCTTCTGAGACATTACTTTGATTGAAACCTAAATGTATTTTCCATAAAGTCTGCTAAGCATCTTTATATTTCAATGTGCATTGGTTTGTGATCACTCTGATAACATGCTGTGTCTAAGAAAAATCATATAATTCAAGTTGTTTCTCAACTTCTAATGCTCCAATTTCTCTTTAAAATTTCTTGCAATGGAAAAGACACATGACCTTATTTTAAAAGTCATGGAGGGAGCTGATATTTTTAAAGTAGCCAGCATGGTGTTTAACGAGAACGATCAGCACAGTTGGAGTTGTATGTCATGAAGGGTGAGGTTTTAGAGCTGAGATGAACATCCAGCAATGCAACATGACATATCTAAGTGGTAGGGATCAGAGGAGTCCAGACACAGAGGTGGGGTTTGGACATGAGTGGGGAACCACACAATTCGAAGATTTCCATCTATCAGACAGTGAAATCCAGGAAAAAAAAAAAAACATCACATCAGCTGTCAAAATCTGAGGTGAGACAAGTTGGGATTGGGAGCATGGAAAAGAGAAAAGAGGCCAAAGTAGCAATTAGTGAAACCAGACTTCATCCTGGGGAAAGGCAGGCATAAATGCACTAGCAACACAGTAACTCTTGGTTCCTCATTTTCTGTTCTAATAAAGGCTGGTCTTTGAGATGAGGGGAGGGTCCACTCTTCAGATCAAACTATAAAATATGCCCTATGAATGATCTGCATTTGGATCAACCAGAGTGCTTATTAAAATTCAAGTGCTTAGGTCTCTTTTGAGACCTCAAGCACACTGTAGATAAGGAAACCTAGGAAACTATATTTTATTCTATTTTCTGGAAAGATTTATTTACTTATTTGTTTGAAAAGTAGTTATGGAGACAGAAGAGCAAGAGTGAGAACAAGAGAGAAAGAAGGACAGAGAGAAACAGGAGAGACAGAGAGAAAACTACATATATTGGTTCACTCTCCAAAAAACTGGAATGACCAGAGTTGGGCTGGTCCACTGCTAGGAACAAGCAACTCCTTCCAGGTTTCCCATGTGAATTCAGGGGTTAAGGATTTGGACCAATTTCTGCTTTCCCAAGCACATTAGCAGAGAGCTGTATTCAAAGTGGAACAGCTAGGACTTGAACCAGCACCCATATGGGGTACTATTTCAAAGGCAGCAGCTTTAACTGCTCTATCACAACACTAGCCCTGAAACACACATTTTCAAATGATACCCCAAAAATATACGTAGAATTGGAGAGTGACTGCAATAGGCAATGCATATGTGGTCTCATGAATAATGGTTAACAAGAACTGAAAGGGTAGATTTGGAGACATCACAGATCATTACAGAAATCGAAAGCTATTTAAAAGTAATTATTTTTGTTGAATACCTGGCCCCAGATACTATAATTATTTAATCAATATAGAAAGGCAAAATGTTCCTTAAAGATTGCTAGAGAAAAACATATTCATTCAATACAAATAACAAATATTGAGCGCCTACTATATATAAAGCAGTAATATAGAACTTAAAAAAAAAGTAATAAGGTGCTCTATAGACTTAAAGTTACTTATCGGATTGTTCTCCCTGGACCTTTTTTTTTTCTCTCTATTGAATCTCCTGTTAGGGGGAATACTCATAAATCATGGCTCAGTTATTTTTTAGAAGTCCAAGACCAATACTTTAACGTTATGTTATCTGATAAATAGCTAAAGAGAAATTTGAGAATACACTTTTCTGTAAGACATTTTGGAATTCTTGATGCTATATTCTAAGAACATACGAGTTACTGGTAATGCAAAAGTTTTTAGAAACAAGGTAACCTATAGCTATTTACCAGGGCTGTAGAGAAGGGATTGAGTCAGTCCAACTCATTTACGTAGTCAGGTAGCAAGTTCAGTGTATCAGAGCAGGGCAGGGCTGTGAGGTCTAATCTGGGAGACTAGCAGAAAGACGCATTGTGGTTAGACAGAGTCCTCCATTTTGCTTCCTATTCTGACCATTCTGGAGCTTTTAAGGAGCATCTACAAATGGCCTTCCTGCAGCTGGCCATGAGTGGAGATGTGCCTCTTTGTTTTCTGATAGCGGATCAGTCCTTGCCACAGTCCCCAGGAAGCTCTTTTTCCTGTGCTTAAACTTATCCAGTTGGTAGAGGAAAGTTTTGTAAGGATCTGAGGGACTTCATTCAGTTTTACACTGATGTCCATTTTTTTGCCTAGTTACTATACTGGTCAGTCTGCTTGTGATCTCAGACAAAAAATTCATGTGACTGAAATATGTTGCAAGTTCTTACTGAATTGTTCAGATACTGTTTTTTATACA